AGCTGCACTGAAAAAAAATATGAATATCGCAATTAGAGAAAAATTTTGAAAAAGTTAAAAAAAAAAATCAAATGTAATAAATTTAGTTATTATTTTTTTAATTTCATAAAATATGAAAATTTTTAAACTAAAACAGTATATGTTTGTCAAAACTCTTAACTACTCACCGTCCTTCGAGCTCGGCGCCGTTGGTGAGGTGAATGAGAAGCCGCCATTGCCGCTACTTGAGCCGCCAACACCACCACCACCAACGCCACCGACACCACTGCCCATACCCGGGCCGCCGCCGCCGCTACCGTTAGCGCCACCAAGCAAGCCGTTGCCACCATTCGTCAAACACGACGCTCCACTCACGCCCACATTATTGCCACCAGTATGTTGTGAATTTTGTGAATTGCCATTGGCAACGCCAATGCTGCSAACAATGCCAGTGCCACCACCGCCCGCTTGTGCGGCCAGGCTCTGTGCGCGATGCTCGAACTGRGCTATCGACGTGGGCGGCAGTGAGAATGCGGGATTTAAGCTGCTGGGTAATARGTTTTGCCCAAAGGCAGCCGCATGCGCAGCAGCCGCGTAATCTTGTTCCTGCACAATGGAAGAGAGAGAGCGTTAATTMCAATATTTGTGKRGGTGTTCAAAATCAAAGTCGATAATGGGTTAMCATCATTTGATATAATAATTTCAATTAGATTTATATCGAAGCATCTATTTCTCAGATACTCTGGCACTATATGAAATGGACAGGGGAATATCGTCATTTTCATCGATTCTTTAACTCAAAAATGTTACTGTTTAGTTGGCAATGTATTATGTTTGCATTACCTAAAGGCTTAGCTGAGGCGTTGGCTTCGAAAAATGATACCGCTTAAAAATCTATAAAACGATCCTTCCCTGACTCCCAGTAAATCTTAAGAGGTCCTCTGAACTACATGCTCTTAACAAAGTCTATCTTGTAGGTGCTCTGATTGGACCAATAAGCGAGCATCTGGTACGACTGAATATCTTGCAGGACGTTGAGATTAAAATATCTCGGTAGACATATCTTCGACTTTGATCARCAATAAGAACATGGGGGTTGCGAAAGTCCTCTGGCCYAGAGTGGAACATAAAAATTCCATGTAAATACTCGTTCGCAGCAAGGTTCACATTGACACAATGATAAGTGCCTTAACTGAGCACTTCCCATTGGCACTTTCATGATGAGACTAAAGATTTTAAAGTATGCAACTTTTCAAAGTTGCAAAGAGGATCATGAGGTGGAAACATCTTGACAATTTTKTCTCCAATTTTTGTCAGACTAAAGTTGAAAATTCCGTTGTTATACTTTGCCTCGAGAAAAAACCATTTCACCTAACTTATCTTAACTTCTGTGAACATAGCGAGCTGAATGGGGAAAAAGACGCTTCCACAATATACGAGGGTCTAGAGATTAATTTTTAATAGATTTTGCGTGTCACAAAAAACCAGCGTTTTCAGCTGCCCAAGAGAGATGTAGCGGAAATTTTTTGAGAGCSCTAGTTTACTAAGATTGTCGTATTTGTGTTTGCATTTTCTCGATCCCGTAATTTCGAGATTTTAAAAAAGTGTTTCCGGGATCCCGAAATTTTTTTAAAGTGACAGCTTAATGGGAGGGTATGTTTTTGTGTTTGCATTTTCTCGATCCCGTAATTTCGAGATTATCAAAAAGCGATTTCGGGATCCCGAAATTGTTTGAATTTAAAAAAACCATTTTCGGGATTCCGACATTTTCTGAAAGTGTTCTTTTAATGATAATGTCGGTTTGTGTGGGCGTTTACAGAATCCYGGAATTGCGGGATTTTCAAAAAGCTTCGATGATCAACCCTACGACCCCAACTAAGCAATGTGAATGAGATTACAATCAAAAGCAATTGATCGACAATCTAGATTAGAAGCACGAATTGGGATTGAACTCTCCCAAAATATGTTTAAGAGATCTTAAGTTTTTCGAATACCCGATACTGGCTTGCTGTGATCTTAGAACAATGAAAAAATAAAACTGAATTTTCGAGCAGAAAATAAAATTTAGCGAAATTTGTATTTAGGTTTCACATTTTTCATTTTTTTTTTATAAATTTATATGGGTATCTTACAACAACAACATACATTATCAGACCCACCTTGAAATCACGAACTTGCATTTTTAACTTCTCCAGGACATCGTTGTGTGGTAGATTTGGAATGCCATGTAGACCGCCGATGCCCATGAAATTGCTGAGCGCATTTAGCGGATGATTTGTGGGGAACTGGTGATGATGACTGAAAATACAAYAACAAAGCAGGAAAACAACGAAAATTATTTTCTATCAACAGCAAAGTCAGGGCAAGAGGATACTTTCCGTTAGAATTCGCACTTAATTAATTTACCTCATTTGAAGATCAGCGTGATGGTCGGGACTGCGCACACCCATGCCACCGCCAACACCAAGACTGACACTGCCGGCGTTGCCACCAAAACTCATATCACCAACAAATGTATTGTTGCTGTGRCTGTTGTTATTGTTATTGCTATTATGATTATTGCTATGAATATTTCTGTTTTTRTTGTTGCTGTTGCTGCTATGTTGGCGTTTCAATGTTGCGACATTCAGGCGTGTTGCACGAATTACATGATGATCGGCATCGATAGAATCGCAATCGCGTATATCATCATCGGATGCGACGTCACGAGACTGTAAATAAAAATGCGGAGCAAATAAATAATGAGAGAAAAAGAAGAGGAGGAGGAAACAGCAGGCAAAGAGTTAAGAACAAATGGCATAAAGTGTTTATTAAATTGATTGCAATCATTTGGTGCAACATGAAAACACATTAAGACTAGACGCACACACACACACATGCRTTCACAGGCTGCGAAGCGCWTACATAAAACACGCACAGAAACACTTCTAGCAGCAAAACAAATGAAGCACTTAGAACGGCAWACAAATCGAACGACACTCGGGAAACAGTCAGCGCCAGCGGTGGTGCAGAGCGCGCTGGGGTTGTGCCAGCATAGAGCACCAGCGCGCACTGAGGTCGCGTAGATTCCAGCTAACGATCGATCAACATTTGCAACCCACTGCGACAAGTCGAGTGCAGTTGCTATGTTCAACATTTAGCATTATACATGCAACATGCCATAGCAATGAGGCGGCAGGCGACAACCAACAGGCTATGTGGCAAGCGTCACTTTAGCAAAATACACATTTCTTATTACACTTTAACGCAAATTATTCTGTTTGCCACAATTTTTGTATTCTTTCACTCTTTTGCTATTCACTTCCTTCCACATGCATTTGCGGCATAATCGAATTCAAACGTGATTTTTGCATAAATTGCCAACAACTTTAGATTGTCGCGCAGCCGCATCATTATAATCGTCATCAACAAGACCGAACGGTCAACGGGTAGTAAAAAAGCGACTGCAGAGTGTTGCACTGCTGTTGTGGTGTTGCATTGGTAGACCATTAATAAGTTATGATCGACATTGTAGCACTTTTTGCTTTTGTTTTTGTTAGCGACAGTTTAATAAGAGTGCCGTATTTGTGTTTGCATTTACTGGATCCTGAAATTTCGATATTTTATATTTGGATTTCGGGATCCCGAAATTTTTGCTTTTGTTTTTGTGAAGCAGGGCTTTAAATCGTATCTGTGTTTACATTTGTTGGGTCCCAAAATTTCGGGATTTTCGAAACGCAATTTCGGGATCTTGAAAATATTTGAAAGCGCCAGTTTAACGAGTGTGCCCGTTTTTGCCGTATTTACAAAACCTCGAAATTTAGGGATTTTCAARAAGYGATTTYGGGATCCCGAAATTTWTTGAAAGCGACARTTTAAAGAGAGTGTCTGTTTGCATGTATTGGATCCAGAAATTGTGTAAATTTAAAGTTTCGTCTTCGTGATTCTAAAATGTTTTGCTTTACTGGTTCCCGTAATTTCGAGATTTTCAAAAAGCGATTAAAGAGAGTCTTTGTGTGAGCATTTACAGAATCTTGAAATTTAGTGATTTTCAAAAAACGATTCCGGGTACGCGAAATTTTTTTAAAACGACAGTAAAGTGCGAATATTCTATTTTGTGCGCATTTAAAGAATCCCGAAATTTCGGGATTTTCAAATAGCGATTACGGGTTCACGAAAATATTTC